TCTTTAATTAAGGTAATATTATTGTATACTACGATAAACAGAAAGTGAATCCGTCAAGTGAACCAGTCGTCATTAGCGACTGATATATTTTACTGATCCGGGAACTGTCCCGTTCCTCATTCCTGCCACTGCTTAGGAAACGATTTAGGCCCTCGTTTGTTTTGGCGCGTCAGCTACTTGTTTTTCGCACCGTTTCGCTGTACAGTAAACAAAGGCAAATTGCTCCAGCCATAAGCCGTCATCACAGCATGTCGACATTGCCGCACTTTTCGACTCTTCCGAGCATTACGTACAAGTTAACATATCAAAGTCTCATTAGACCTGTGCGTGATAATCTCAACCCACTCTGAGGATTATACGTCAGTCCGTCGGTCTTTTCCTTCTTAACGCCGGTAAACCGATTTAATCAGATTCATTGTTATCATGTAATTACTTTATTCGCATAATAGCTTTTCCGTTTCCAATTAACTATCAGCTGTGGGGCGCGGCGAACGCGGAGTATGGCCGGCTTGATGAGCATACTGCGAATTGGATTGGCGGTGCAGCAACTCTTTTGAGGAAATCGTTTTCATTGGCGATTGATTCAATTTGCATTTCTTTGCCAATTTCTGTGTGGACTTTGAGCGAAGCGCGTTTGCGGTGCGCTTTTTTTAGTTTTTTAGCTTTCACCCGGCCGATTTACACTACATTATAGTTACTTGACGAAAACGCATCGGCATTCCGAGGATATTTGCAAACAGAGTTCAAAGATAGCTTTGTAAATGCCCTGAAGTAGGTCATACTTTTTTCCCGCATTATTATCACGTCACTATTCAGTGATGCTAGAACGAACGAAGCGGCCGCGAACGATGAAAGTGAGGAACACGAGAAACAGTAGGATTCAAATGGTTTCTTAGCGACGAACAACTCACAATTGGCTGTGAAACCGCGCCAACACTCGAATTAACAAAGCACCGATATCCTGTTTGCGCTTTTAACACGATTGCTTGACGCGGGCACAGAGCTTGTAATTGCCTGTTTCAAGAATGAAGCGATCATGATTTTCATGTCCTCGCGATTATGGTGGCTGAAAAAATCAATATTTACGATTTTCTCGCTTGAGTACATTCGAAAATATTTGATAGCGCTTAAGTGGCCTGCAAGCATGCTCTCTTCCGAATGATTCAACATGCGATCTAAATATATTCAGGTCATTATCAAGTACTTTTGTCTCTCTGACAGACAGCGTCTCGAAGCCATTCGACCGAAGTGTGTGCTGCCGCGACAACGTGTCAAAATTAAACACGAATATGCTAGCTGTTCCTAGAGATGAGATGCGAGCTTGTCTGGTCAAAGTGTATTTCGACTTCTTTCGCCGTTCACCTGCCATTCATCGGTGAGCAGAGCCCGTTGAGTCGACAGATTCGCCTACCTACAGTAACAAGTAAAACCTTGTTTCGCTCAACTACGAAAGGTCGAAATTGAACCATTTTTTCAACGTGTCGCATATCAACGATTTATTTAGTCAGGACTTTTGAACTAGCATCAGCTACTGTTTGTAATCGAGCAAAATTGTTTTCTGAGGCTCACTGCTGAGAAACGGTACTCATATGAATTCTCATTATTATCCTCATAAGTTGCGCCGCATTTCAACTTTTCGAAATCGAAACCGGTTCATAACCGTCGAAATTATTTACGTCATGCTAGTCGCGAGAAAAATATCTGCTTTCAATGCAGACAGGCTCTACATTGGCCGGTATATGTTTTTGAGAGATTAACAGCTTAAGTCTCGCGCACAAGACTTTTCCGCCTCACGGAAATAATAAATTTTGGCGTTTATCAGTTACCACAAATAGTGGAGCGCTGACAGGATGGAAAACTGAAATGAACAAGCTTTAAATGCAGCATTTTGATGACTGAGAATGCAAAATGTGTACATAATTGCCGAAATAGCTAATGCTCCAGCCGCCGTCGTTCCAAATGCGGTTCGCGGCCGCCGGTGAAGGTGATGGTCGTCATTCATCATTTTGATTATATGCGGAGAAACTTTGTCTAGCCATAAAAGGATGAACAAGACTTGCTTGTTGTACCGACACAATACGACGCTAGCTTGATTGTCTTGATAGAAGTGGCTTACGTGGGTTGATTTCATGCGCCGATATCTTGCCTCATATCAGCCTACACAGGGTGCATGCCAAATTGCCGTAGCAGGTGCCGCGATCGGCAGGGTAGCCGGCTCGATCGTGTATCGCACTACAACGAAAATGCATAGCGACCGGCTGGTCACAGCAGGATTAATAGCGGATACGAATGCGATATTTCACGTAAGTGTCAGCTGTTCACCTGAAACACTCGCAAAAACGTAGTCCTGTTTGCCGAAGCTCGTCGTTTAGCAGCAGTGATTTTGCTTAAAGCCACTTTCGTACGACGAAAAATAAATATTTACAGCTTCTTAGAGCCGACCAAAGCATGACGTTATAGCGGAAAAAGGAGATGAACAGAGTTCACCGCGAAGCTTGAATCCCAAAACGTAAGTCGTGTTGCCAAACGAAAAAACTTTTGTCGAATGAACGTATCTAACAGTTAGCTCAGCCTGCGTGACTCGAACGCGCCTACTGAACGATAGCCCGATTGGTGCATTTGCTGCATTCTTCACTTGACGGAAAGCTCAACATGAACTTGTAGTCAGGATCTCACCGATATCGTTCAGAATTGAGCTTATTCGATACAGTTATGCAAAGAAGGCAGGTGAGGTGGTAGCTGACAGTTAGAATAAGAGTTCTTCAATGGATTTTATCCAGTCTGAACCACAATCATTGCAGTGACTAGAATCACTCATACTTTATAGTTTACTCTGCAGATATTTTATCGCCTTTTATCTCGCATCTAGATCGTTGGTGCTTTTTATTCTGACGAAATTTCCTTGCTTCTTACACTGATAGCAAATTATCGTTCCTTGCATTATCTGGACTAGCTAACATTTTCTCTCGGCTTTTCCTTTCTAGGCATTAGTTCAAAATTATTTCTTCATTTTCAATTTACAATATCTCTTTTATAATCTTTCAAATCTATTAAATCGTTATCCTTAGTTTCGCTGCTCTTGGAATTTGCTCTTGCTTAGATATTATCAAACGCCAGACTTAGCAAA